CTGCGCATCGGGATGCTCCAGCCCTTCTCGCGGTACTTGAGCTGGAGGTCGCGCAGCTGGTTCTCTCCCGCGAGCGCCTGCCCGGCCGCCGTGTCGACCATGCCCTCGGGCTCCTCGCCGTCGATCTCCAGCAGGTTGATCTCCTGGTCCGGGCGGTCGGCTGACCCCGGGGCCCCCAGCGCGCAAATCTCCCGGACGCGAGCGCCTCCCACGAGGAAGGGGCCCCCGTCGCTGCTGGCGGCCACGCGCGTGGAACCCTTTGCCCCGGCGGCGCCTTCCTGGCCCCTGTCGCGGACCTCCGACTTCGGCGCGCAGGGGTTCGTGCAATCTTTCCTCCAGTGACCCTTCTGCCCACAGTTCGCGCACCTCGTCTTCTCCTTGAGGCGCGCGATGCTCAGCCTCTGCTTCCCCGCGCTTGGCCGCGGCGCCCGTCGGCCCCCAGCCCTCTTCGAGTCGAAGTCTCGATCCCGGGCGATCGCCTTCTTGAGCTCCCTCGACTCCGTCCACTTCCGCAGGCGGCCCTCCTTCTCCCTCTTCTCGTCCAGCACCGCGGCCAGCGCCACGATCGCCCGCTCCTCGTCCAGCCCCTGGGCGGCGATCGCCTCGTAGAAAGCCGCCGCGGCCTCGTTGTCCATGATCAGGTCCCCCTCGAACTCGAAGTAGACGTCCTGGCCCCTGGTGTTCTCGCCCTCCTGCTCACGATCGCTGTCCGCGGCCGCGTGCGCCCGCAGCTTTCTTTGACTCGTTGTTTTTGTTTCACGTCCATCTTTCTAAGCCCGGCTTTGATCGACTCCAGATCCTCTGGTCCCTGCGAGATCGACAGAAGGTTGATGGCATTCTGCTCGCGGAATTTCATCCATTCCTCAGCTGCTGTACCTGGACCGACTCCGGTAGGTCGAGACCGTGCTTTCTTGCAGCTCGTACTTGCGTGTCCCTTCTCATCACATACTGGGCGTAGGTCTCTCCTGGTCGCATCTCCGTGCTCTCCAGCACTAATACGAAGCTCTCCTTGGCCTCGTCACCGTCCTGGTCTCCTCTGCACTTCTTGAGAAAATCGATCAGCACGTTTGGCCCTTCTGCGCTGTCCAGTTCTTCCTGCTGATGTAGTAGCCGCTCCTGCAGATTCATCGGCAAGCCGTCAATGACCTTGCCTGCCTGCTGCTCTGCGGGCAGCCCCGTGCGCTTGGACCAGCGCTTGATTGCCACTACGTGTGTGTCCAGCCGCTCGAATCCGCCCCACGGCGTAGGTCCTTGCGTGTCCGACGGCCTCCATGTCGAGACGGACGCGCCCGTCTCGGTCGGTGCCCACGGCGTGGGCGGCGGGGGCACCAGCGTCGCCGTCCAGCCCGCGGCCCGTTCCTGGGCGAGCCCCGCGGGCAAGCCGCTCTGAACCGGCGCCGACGGAAGCGGCCTGGCCTCGGCGCGGGCGTCCGGCTGCGCCGGCGCCCCTGGCCACGCAGGTGCCTCGGCCGCTCGCTCGCCGCCGCCGCGCAGCAGCCCGTGCGGCACCAGCAGCTCGTCCGGCCGCGCGATCGTGACCCACACCGTGCCGTCGTCTGTCGACGGGACGCCCTGCCACCAGCTGCTGTTGCTGCCGTCGGCACCCCACCAGCTGCTCCACCAGCTGTTCCACCAGCTGCCGCTGCTGTTGCTCGTCGTTCTCGCCCATGGATCCCAGCGCGTCCACGGATCCTCCGCCTCTGTCGGTGCCGGTGGTGGCGCCTCGGTCGGTGGCTGCCGCGCCTGCTGGGCCTCGCTGGAAGCCTCAGGCGCTGCTGCGTCTGCTGCTGCTGCTGCTGCTGCTGCTGCTGCTGCTGCTGCTGCTGCTGTTGCTGCTAATGCTGCTGCTGCTGCTGCTGCACGCTGTGGGGCAGCAGCAGTCGGGCTAGGCCCGCTCCCCTGCGCGCCGCCCGGCTCTCCTCCACCTCGCTGTACCATGAATGACGCTCCTGCTACCATGTGAACGGCCGTCTTGGAACGGGGAAACAAAGAGAGGCCGGGCGGCGACGCGGGAGCGGGTCGACATCCCACCCGCTACTTCTCCTGAAACGCGCACTTGAGCCACACGGTTGCAAACACTTGAATACTGAGCATTCGCCCGGCAACGTGACTATACACTTGGAAACTCACTGAAACAACTCTGGGGACCTGTTGGGACATGGGTGATGGGAATATATAAGACAGATGTGTGTCCAAGCATTGGTCAGCTGCGCGTGCCGATAAGGAGTAGAAAGGGGGGACGAAGGGACTAGTGGAGAAGAAGGAGGGGGAGGAGGAACTGGGAGAGGATTAGGAGAAGGAGGAGGCGGAGGGGAGAGGAGGGGGGCGACCACCACGAGGACAAGGGCTGAGGGAGGAAAGGAGGAGGAAGGAGGAGGAAGAGGTGACGGAGGACAAGGAGGATGCGGCCGAGGTCGTGGTGTGGGCGGGGGGGACCCAGGTCGCCACGTGGAAAAAAAAGAGGCCAACGCAGGGAGGGCTGCGTATGACTGTCAACATG